TCGCTGGAGCGTTCTACGAGCACGAGTTGCATCGCGCTACTCATCCGGACGTGTATCTCGTGGAGAAAGTACTGCGCAGGAAAGGAGACAAGGTGTACGTCAAGTGGCTGGGATTCGATGGATCGCACAATTCGTGGATACACAAAAACAATGTCATTTGATACAATTTTAATTCATGTATTTTTTTGTTCTACATATAAAAAATATATAAGTATATAAACGTTTCTTTTTATTACTCCCCACTCATCTTCGTTTTGGAGTATACAAAATACATACATAATGATACAAAATACATTATTTTATTTTATTTTATTTTTTTAACAACGCATATAAAGATAGAATACGTACATACATGTGTACATAAAAATAATAGTAATTCATATAATATGTATATAAATGTAAATCCTTATGTTACATAAAGTGAAAATTAAAATACTAGTATATAATACGTATAATATATAAATGTTAAAACGTATGATACATAAAGTGTAAATTAAAATACTAATACTACGTAGAAATATAACAAACATACGATATATATTATATGAAAGTACAATAATAGTAATACACATAATAAATTTAAAAAAAGTGTACATTAAAATACTAATACATATGATACGTATATGTATCATATTATGGTACATATGGATATGTATCATAGTATGGATATTATTATACAAAGGTATCCGCCAATGCCCCCACGGTAACGTCTCCGTCGAGTCCGGTACGACGTACCGTTTATCGTTGTATGGACTCAGAGCGATTTTTGATTCGGATATCGTGTATACCTCGTGCAGTTTAGATCGTATACACGATTGACGACGAGTCATTTCGATCTCTTCGTTCAAACACCGCGTGTAATCGTCGAACGTTATCGTTCGCACTACGACGTTACTCTTTACACCCTTTGCTTTTTTGGTGTCCTTCTTTCCATCTACACGTAAAGCATACATCTTCGCTCTGAGTCCAACGAATTCGGTCATTATCGTGCCGTTGTTTTCGTCCTTCATCAGACCTGGCACTTTTTTATTCGCGAGAGGCATACCGTACGCATTGCCCGCCGGATAATCGCTCGTGTCGAATCTAGCGATATCGCGTTTCATCGTCTCGTAAATATCGGCGCATTCTATGTGATAAATCACTCTGTCTGTTTCAGTGTACGTAATTTTATATTTGTCGTTGTACAGCGGTGCTGTACTCGTGGTGAAATTCGTACAAGCAGACTTTCGATATGTCCAGTATGCACATACCTACATAAATCGGCTTGTTGAACTTCACCTCAAGTTTGCGCAGTTCGACGGCGATTAGATTCTCCGCAAAGACGCTACGGTTATGAAAATTCGGTTTCGCGATCATTGCTTCTGCACCGTAACGACCGTCCCATTTCGTTAATAATTTTACGTCGACGTGATTGCGCACATTCTCCATGGTTTTACCGAACACCGCGTTGTTCATTAATTTATATAAATTTTTTTTCGAAATCATTTTTCGCACGAGTTCTTAAATTTGTATTGAGTTCGATGTACTCACGGAGCCTGGAGATTGAACGAATTGTAGCACTCTATGTATTTTTGTTACGCGAAGTCCGTGACGAGTACATTGCTGCAGGTTGCGGTAATGGACGACGTAACGCTGTTTATCGTACAGCGTCGCGAGAAGTTTCTCTTCACGCGTGCCGGGCGGCTATATACTTATATATAGGACAGAATGGTAGGTCTGCATGAGCGGCGTGAAGATGCTGCGGATACTCGAGATCAACCTCGAGAATGTAACCGGTGAGTGAATCCGGAGCGATCGCGCTCACGTCAAAGTTCGCCGCGTCTTCGACCCATTGAAAGTTGGCGTATGGCAATGGTTGACACATCGCCCATCCGTATAGATTGTTAACATCGTAGTTACATTAATAACATTAAGTATGACGACGGTTTCGATGGGTCGTACGAACGCATATACTTGTTGTTGGCTTGCGCGTATCTACCTGAACATTGACTGAGGCCGCCGCGTATACCGCGCTCGAACAAAACCATATCTATGTCGGTGAGAAGTTCAAATTTTACACGTGTGTGTTTTAGCATGGCGTCCCATGTGAAACCGGGCAATGTATAGTAATGCGCGGGATCGAGCCCGTAACTCGCGACACAACTTTCGCGAAAATTTTCGAAAATATCGGCCAACAACAAGACATCGGTTTTCAAGTACAGACTCGCCAAGCGTTCGAATAGAGAATCGCTGCCAGATGTTCACGGCGTGAGCGTAATCGCTCTCGGATACGGTATCGCCTGTCAACGAACTGTAAAATGATTCGCACGGTGGTAAGCGCGTGTCCTGCAATTTTTCGATGCAGTCAACGTATTCGTACGGAAATACGCCTTTTCGCGTGAGTAATTCAAATTCTTCGTTCGATAGTGTTGAAAATTCGGAACGTACGATTTTTAAATTATCTTTATCGAGATACGACGCCAATTTATCAAAGCTTGTACTCAAAAATTTGAAAGAATCGATAAATCTTAATTTGATGCAATTTCGAGATTCTTTTTTTTTAGTACTGTCAACGTGTTTCGTAAACGATATATATTTTTCTTTGGTTATTGGAAGTATGTCTACTTGTCCGTCGTACGCAGTAGCAATTTCCTTAATTATAAAGTGTGCGTCGTAGCTCGATAAGTTGTGAAATACGATCGGAATATAAAAGGAATTTTTATAATTTAAATTACAGTTCGAATGGACTCGACCACGGTATCTACCGCACTGCAAAAAGAAACGTGTTAAAACAACATGCTTTAAAGCATGTTAAAGGATGTCTCTAATTTTAACACACAAAACTGGTAGATTAAAGTAACACACTTATGTGTGTTAAAAAAACACACTTCCATGTATTATATATAAAATACGGTTACTTAATATGTGTTAATAGGATAAAGTGCATTAAAATAACACACTTTAAATGTTATGAATTGATTCGCACTACCAGAAAAATTTGTGTCCGCAATAACGTTTACTAACTGTATCGTGCGACTAGAACATATTCATAACAATATATATAGCAAAAATTTCAAGATTTATATTTTCCTGAAATCTGTGCCATTTTTATTATGAGTGTTTCTCAGTTGCGCGATACAGTCTAATAAATTAATTAACAAAATTTTTATATGCGTGCAAAATTGATTGGATAGTTTTGCATAAATAATTCATAAAATATTAATCGAAAAACATAAATTTATTGCATAAAAGCACAGAATCTCAATTACAATTTATATGTATGTAAGCATTTGCACATGTATAAGCATTGCACATATATAAGATTTGCACACTCGAACTAAAGAAACACGAATTTTTAACATTATTTTATAATATCTGTAATTGTTTTAAAAATAAAGTATCTCACAAAAAGAGCAGCAGTTACTGCTACTGCACACTGGACGCGATGAGCGATGAACGATGAGCGATACCCAATAAAAGCTCTGCTTTTTCTTACATGACGCTGTGCAACTGCTCTCATTGGCTATTGCTCATCGCTCATTGCATTCATAATGTGTAGTAGGCATTACTCTACATTAAGTTAAAATGTTGCACTCGAAAAGATAAATGCAACATAACATTATGTGTTAGCATTTATATTGTTAAGTACTAAATTTTAACGTAAATGTAATGTAACTTGCACTCTGAAAACTTAAAAATAATACTTAGTTCATCTAACTTGGTTAATTGAATCCATTAATATTAAATGTTAATATACATAACCTACACATGATAGATTTGTAAGTCAATTGTATATATAAGCTATGCATTTTCATCATTTTGATGTACGTTTAAACGCCATCTTCTAAAATCACGCTTGAAATTGTCAAACATTTTGCAAGAATAATTGTTTGGCGTATTCAAAGCAAAATAATCAAAAATGGACAACGAAGAAACATATGGGCCTGGAAAGTGTGATGCTCATGCATGATAGGTTCCCAATAATACTGTAAGACATTCAGTAGTAGGATTATTAATTTTTATTTTTTTTCCATCTGCAACAACAAAAGCAGCTACTATATTTTTATCTTCCACATAAATGACTAGTCGTGGACCTTCAGTTTCTTTAGTGGTCAATTCTTCACCAGGAGGCGATGAAGCCTACAGAAAGATAAAAATGTTTTGTATCGACATGTCATAGTGCAAAATAAATTATATAATGAACAAAATATTTGAACTTTATTACATTCTTCACAGTGAATAGTGACTGAACATTTTTTGCTGTCCTTTTTGGCTTATAGTTCGAGTAAATCTTTTGTAAAATACTTAATTTCCTATTTTCTGAAATTGTATCATCTGGTATTTTAAGGAAAGAACCCAACTCCATAATTAACGCATCAATTTTTTCAGATATGTCGCTAAGCTTTAAATTTACACGTAGACTGAATTCAAAGAGGATCTAAAAAATTCAAACATATGAGATAATATTTATTGTACAAATACAGGTAATGGGATTACTAAATCAAATTAAAAAATAAATAATTTACCATTTCAGCCTTCAAAAGAAAAGGGAAATTAGATAGGACTGTGCTTATAGTAATCGACGCGTCAATAATTCCTTTTCTTTTTATAAATGTCTCTTTCATTAAAGCCTTTACATGAGAAGTGAAACCAACTTTTTCAGTTAATGTTTTTAACTCTTCCATCATCTCTTCCTGTTTTTTCTTCTCTTTGTCTGTTTCTTGTAAATAACTGAAATAAAGAAAATAAATATAAAAATATGTACAAGATATTCATAATATGACCCATATTCATAACATGCTCACAACATTGTTAACACGCTGACAAATCGAGTACAGCAAATCAAAAGGCATATAAGGCACTTTTGATTAGCTATATTCCACTTGTCGCTAATAAAATCGTAAGTGCATTCTGAATATGATGTACAAGATATGTACAAGATTACTAACCTTTCTATTTCAACAGGTTGAATTGATGGCACTTTAAGATTTGACACAGAAGAAACAGTTTCTTCGTCACTGCAGGAAGAGTTATCTTTTTTGACAAATTGTTTAATTTTTCTTCTTTCTCGAGCTCTTAAAGAGCTGAGAATTAAACAATACAAAACTACCGCTTATAGACCACAATCAAACGGCTCCCTCGAACGTTCACATCATGTCCTTTGGGAATATTTGAAACAGACGATAAAAAGTAAGAAAGACTGGGACGAATACCTAAAACTAGCCTGCTTCTCATACAACACAAGCGTGCATGAGGGAACGAAATATACACCTCATGAACTCATATTTGCAAAAACGGCAAGGATACCAACCAGTCAAACCCTCCCGGAAGACACAGGCAACGAAAGCTATACGCATTACATCGAGGAATTGTTCAATAAAATAAAAACGTTACAAGAAAGCGCCCGTGACAACCTCATTTCCGCTAAAATAAGATTAAAGCGATATTACGATAAACGCGCAAACCCAAAATCCTTTGAACTTGGCGATAAAGCATTTTTACTAAAAGAACCTACACATAAATTAGGGGACCAATACACGGGTCCGTATGAAATCATCGAAGTACTCAAAAATAACAATCTAAAAATCCGAATATCTAACCTTAGAACGCGAATAGTTCACACAGATAAACTTAAGTTACTCCCCGCCTACGAAGAAGAGAGAGGGGTCGCACCGAACAGGCCATCGGAGGACATCGCCAACTTCACCGAAGACGAATAATGACCCTCTTCTTAGCCATCCTCACCTAGATAATCCCCGCCAAGGGTCTCGTGGGATACGATTGCGGAGGAGAAGGATTTAATATCACCACGCTATCACTACTCGATATCGGCGAGTGCAATATGGAGCATCTCAAACCTAAAGAGGGGGAAATTTATCTGCAACTCATGCAGTTAACAGATTATGACCGCACCACGGTTACACAATGTAAGGTAGAGATCGATAGAACGATTCTCTATTGCGGCATGAGCTCGCACGTATCTGCAGTACACAACGGCAGGCGTGAATATTTACAAGAACTCGGAGAATCAGGATGCAGGAAGCTATACGAAACTGGATCGATAAAAATAGCCAGCGCCGAAGTCGACCGCATCCAACAAAACACCACTAATCTAAGAAGCATTACACTCGCAGGTTCCGCATCTGTAGATGGCAGGTGCACAGGAGCACAATACACCGACGGATATGGCACATGGGAAAACGTACTCGTTCAAGCAACAGTCAGAATAACTCTGAATTCAATAGATGCACCAATCAAGAGATCAACAAGGCAGGTCATCTTACCTTCAGGCACCCGCTGCTCATTAACACCGGAGTACTGTATGGACAGCAATGGAGCAGAATCATACTGGCCTCCTTTACCAATTGATCACTGCCACTTCGATCAATACAATATCTTATATGAAGGATTGGCAACCAAACTGTCATCCAAGAAGAACCAATCAACGCCTACAATATATACAGTGACTACTCAGG